CTCTCTCTCTCTCCCCCTCTCTCTCTTTCTCTTCCCCCCCTCAATCTCCTGATGAGTCGGTGAAAAGCCTGATTACGCCACCTGGCTGTAGTTGTGTAAAGCGAGCATGACAACACCACACAAAAAAGAGAAATAGACAACAGATAGCTTTTGCCTTCTCTCTCTCTCTCTCCCCCTCACTCTCTCTTTCTCTTCCCCCCCTCAATCTCCTGATGAGTCGGTGAAAAGCCCGATTACGCCATGTGGCTGTAGTTGTGTAAAGCGAGCATGACAACACCACACAAAAAAGAGAAATAGACAACAGATAGCTTTTGCCTTTAACCTTCGCCTATCGCTGCCGGTGTGCCCCTACCCCTCCTCCCTTCCCCATCTCTCTCTCTCTCTCTCTCTCTCTCTCTCTCTCTCTCTCTCTCTCTCTCTCTCTCTCTCTCTCTCTCTCTCTCTCTCACTCACACACTCTCACACACACCCTCCCCCCCAAAAAAAAGGACAAATGGGGTTGTGTCTCAAACGGTTTCACTTGTCTCACGATAGTTTGCAGCACCCAAGGCTCGATTCCTAGACATTTCCCCTTACCCGTGTACAGTACCAGTTGGACCCGTGTGTGTTTGAGTTACTTTAGGTTTTGTGGATTTACAATGTGATGATTATATTGAAAAAGATAGAAGTCGCGGTGTTTACATTACCCAACATTGGGTTTCTTTACCAAGTGTATTACTTGCATCTTCGGGTGGAACTCATGTTTGCCATATCAATTGAAATTTTTGGTAACTATTCAGTATTACAATTTGGATGAGGTACTTCAGGTCATCCTTGAGGAAATGCTCCAGGAGCTGTAGCTAACCGAGTAGCTTTGGAAGCTTGCGTACAAGCATGCAATGAGGGAAGATTTAGCTCGTGAAGCTAATGAAATTATTCGAGAGGCTCTCAAGTGTGTGTTCGAACTCGGGATCTGTATTATGAAAGTCGTGTGTTTGAACCCGGGACCTGTATGTTTGCAACTACTTGTGAAGTGTGTGTTTGAACCCGGGACCTGTATTATGAAAGTCGTCTGTTTGGTTGTTGTAGGTAGTGTGGTCGTCGGGTCTTGGACCGTAGGTGTGTAGATCAGAGGTCTTAAAAGTGGTAGGAGATGTAGCTGCTATAGTGTTGGAAGGTCAATGTCGTAGCTGCTTCAGTACCGAAGGGTCTAGTCACACTCTTCCGGAAGATCCCAATCTGGCCCCTCGTGAGTCCTAGGATGCAGTCCGTAGGCAAGTGGTCAAGTGGGCTGTCCTACCTACTCCAGTCAGCGGGACCCAGTCCCGGTCCAACTTTGTCAAGTCTGCAAGTACCATGTGGCACTGTGTGCACCCCGGGGCCGACATTCAAGAGCAGACCTTGACAATCCGAAGTATAAATAAAGAGGCAGCGATCAATCATACATTTATTTTGCTCGTGAGCCATGCAGAAGCGCTGTCGGAGCGTCTTGTGTACGATGTTCTGCAGGTGCCCGAAGGAGAAGTGGGCAAAGAGGAGGAAGACGCGGCCGTGGCCGCTTAAGTTAGGGTTAGGAGGCAGACGACAGCCATAGCTGAAAGTTAGCCTAGTTAGTTTGTATGTGTGCATGAGTGTGTGTGTTTGTGTGTGCGGCGTCGGGGCAAATACCCTGACAAGGGTATTTGCCGGGGTTTTTCAACGTCGGACGCTGTCCTACTCTTTCATTGGATTGAAGGACTTGATGAGACCGACGTTTGCCAAAAGTTGATTCAGACCTGACCTATGAATGAGAGACTAAAAAGTTTTCGAACTTTAGTCAGAATGAGGGTGGCGTCTGGAAGTAACGAATGTGAATGGCAATGCTTCGCTTTTGTCGAAGTCGCGGGAATGTGCGAACATGGGAACACTAAAGATAGACCTATTCTACCTAAAATGATGTCGCGCGTTTGCTAAGCTGTGCGATTCATGGCCTAAGTGGGCTGAAAAGGGGGATGCGCCGGGTATGGGGCCACGGCGTGGGAGGAATAGGAAGTTTTTTTTTGGACCGCAGGGGTTGACATGGAGCCAAGGGGTTGACAGGCCAATGCCGAGGTCACGAGGCCAACTGTCATGAAAGGGCCTGCCAGCAAAGCCTAATAGGCTTCGTGCAGGCGGGGTCTGTAAGGTCACAGGCTGGCAGGGCTTGCAAGGCCACAGGCACGGAGAATGGTTGGGGCGAAACTCTTCTTATAGAAGAGCTGCTCTTATCACTATCGTGATAGGAGCTAGCCCAGTAGGTTACGATGCCAGACTTTCGCCCAGCAGATACCGGGATCAAGCTCAGCCGCACGCAACCTACTTGGCCAGCTCCTTTTGGAGCAGCCCAGGCAGTTCGGCGCGTCTGATTTCGGTCGCGCGATCATCAAGATCAGGCGGTTGAGATCTGCCACGCGCAGATTAGCATGGCCCCTGCGCGAGGATGACATGCGTGTATCGAAAAATGGTCCAAGTTTTTAATTTTTTGAAAAAAAAAGAAGAAAAAAAAGAGAGGAAAAACTTACCTGCCCCGTATCTGGACACGTAAGCGCCCAGATACGGGCTTTGTGGAGGTCGCATCATCACGAGGTAAGACTTTCTCTTTCTTTTTTTTTTCCTTTCTTTTTGTTTTTTTTCTTCGTTAGTTTTTTTCCAGGAAGATTTTCATGACCGGCCGGTCTGGACCGGCCGGTCACCCGGGCGTGAAGCCCGGGGGGGTCTGACGTCCGAGTGACCCGGTCATGGCAAAAAAATAAAAAAATAAAAAAATAAAAATAGAATAAAAGAAATGGCGGTGGGGTTTTTCTGCGCTCTCCGAGAGCAGTCCAAATCCGGGCTCTTTTCTTTTTTTGAGTGTTGGCTGTCAAGGAGGGGAAAGGGGAGTGTAAATGAACTTGAAGGGGCTAAAGGGGTTCAAAGGGGGGCGACTTAGTGTGATATGGTTATTTTCTTTTTTATCTTTAGTTTTGTGAGGAATTTTGTTGTGACCCTCAGCCAAAAGTTGTTTGTATTGCAATTCTACACAACACAGTGCTGGTCCCCGGATGGACCGGGGGACCTGCGACCGACCGGGAGCCTACCGGTCCAAACGGGCGGTTCACTGGCCCGGCAGGCCCCTGGTTCGATCGGGCGCACAAATTTTGGGGGCTGTACGGGGGATTTTCGGGCGTCCCCGTCCCCACCCAGCCTCTCAGAGGCCGCCGCCAGCAGGAAGAAAAAAAGCGGGCCCTACCGGACCCCGTTTTCATTTGAAAACACGCGGCCAATCTCCGTCGTCCATCGGCGCAGATCAACGGTGGAAACCAGTCGCGCGTTTGCAAGCGAAAACGGGGTCCGGTAGGCCCCTGTTTTCAAATTTGAAAACGCGCCCGATTTCGGCCGCATATCTGCGGATCTTCGGCCGAAATCGTCCGCGTTTTGAAATCTTTACCGGTCCAGTGGGCTGCCTCTGCCCCGCCGCCCCGCCTGCCTCATGCTTCAGCAAGAAACACACAACGTTGACGTCGCGCCTTTCTGCATGCGCGTCGACATCGTGTGCTGCCACCACGCGACAAGCGCCAGCGCCCCGTCTCGAGCCCGCCACCGACCTCTCTCTGCAGCTGCTTCACCCCGCCATCCCTCTTCGTTGCAACCACCCCTCATAGTCGCGAAGGTAAGTCCACCAGCGCCCCTCCTCCTACTCTTCTTCTTCTTCTTTTTTCTTCTTCGTCTTCTCCTCCTCCTCCTCTTCTTCTTCATCTTCTTCTTATCCTCCTCCTCCTCCTTCCTCCTCTTCTTCTTCTTCTTCTTCTCTTCCTCCTCCTTGTCCTCGTCCTCATCATTTTTTCCCCTCCTCTTCTTCTTGTTCTCCTCGTCGTCCTCTTCTTCTTCATCTTTTTCCCTCCTCATTCTCTTCTCCTTCTTCTTCTCCTCCTCCTCCTCTTCCTCCTCTTCTTCTTCTTCATCTTCTTCCTCTTTTTCTTCTTCTCTTCCCCCTCCTCGTCCTCATCATCTTTTGCCCCCCTCCTCCTCTGGATGTTTTCCTCCTCGTCCTATTCTTCTTCATCTTTTTCCCTCCTCCTCCTCCTCCTCCTCTTCTTCTTCTTCTCCTCCTCCTCCTCCTCTTCCTCTTCTTCTTCTTCTTCTTCTTCTTCGTCTTCTTCGACTTCGTCTTGTTCTCCTCCTCCTCCTCCTCCTCCTACCTCCTTGTTGAGCCCGAGCCATAGCGGTAGCAATTTTATTTTTTTCCCATCTCGGATTCTTCTTCTTCTTCTTTCTTCTTCTACTCCTCCGCCGCCGCCTCCTCCTCTTCTCCTCCTCCTCCTCCTCCTCCTCCTCTGCTTCCCTCCCCATTGACCCATAGCCATAGCCATAGCGTTTTTTTTTCTTCTTCCGTTTTCGTATCAGATTCTCGTTCTTCTCCTCCTCCTCCTCCTCCTCCTCGTCTTCCATGAGGTATGTATGCTGGCTGTTTACAGGCCTGCAGACCCATGAAATGCACCCTGCGCCATAAAACCCCTCCC